GGCACGGGGGGCTGTGTCACCGTGTCACCTGTGCCACCCCCTGCCACCCCCTGGCACTGCCACTGTCACCTAGTGTCACCCCCTGCCACCCCCTGGCACTGCCACTGTCACCCAGTGTCACCCAGTGTCACCCCCTGTCCCGGCACCTGCTGCTCTGGGCCCGGGTACGTGGGGCTGCGTCACTGTCACTGTGTCACCGTGTCACCTGTGCCACCCCCTGGCACTGCCACTGTCACCCCCTGTCACCCAGTGCCACCCCCTGGCACCTGCTGCTCTGGGCCCGGGTACGTGGGGCTGCGTCACTGTCACTGTCACTGTGTCACCTCCTGCCACTGCCACTGCCACCCTTGTCACTCCCTGCCACCTCCCCGGCCATGCCCCGCCACTGTCACCCCCTGTCATTGCCACTCCCTGTCACCTCCTGCCACTGCCTGTCACCGCCATCCCTGCCACTGCCACTGTCACCCCTGCCACCTCCCCGGACATGCCCTGCCACTGCCACCCCCACCCGTGTCACTGCCACCCTGGCCGTGTCCCCAAGGCCACCCCTGTCACTGCCACCCCCACCCGTGTCACTGCCACCCTGGCCATGTCCCCAAGGCCACCGCTGTCACTGCCACCCCCAGGCTTGCCTTGTCCCCAGAGCCACCCCCCTGGCACTGCCACTGTGGGCATGTCCCCAAGGTCATCGCTGTCACTGCCACCCCCTGGCACTGCCACCCGTGTCACTGCCATCCCTGCCACTGCCACCCCGGCCGTGTCCCCAGGGCCACCTCCCCAGGCTGGGCCACCAGCCCCGGGGAGGGGACAAGCACGGCCGGGCCACCCTGGGCACTGCCACCAGCGCTGGCACTGCCACCAGCACCACCCCAGGGACAGTGCCACCCTAGGGACAGTGCCCCTCCCCCCCAAAATGGACCCCCCCGGGGGGCGCCCCCTCCCCAAATTGACCCCCCCGCTTTGTGACGCCCCCCGGGGGGGGAGGACGAGAATAAAGTTGTGTTTCTGCCACCGCCGTGTCCCCAGAGTGTCCCCTCTGTGCCACCCCCCTGTCCCCAACTGTCCCCCAGTCCTCTGTGCTACCCCTTGTGTCCCCAAAGTGTCCCCAGTGCCACCCTCCTGTCCCCAGTCCATCCCCGTGTCCCCAAACTGTCCCCGCTCTGTCCCCTGTGCCACCCAGCCTGTCCCC